CAAGGTATTCTAGGAGCTATAGACCAAACATATTTCGCCTTTTTGATCTATGGTTGACATTTATAGAAATCAGAGCTTGGAGAAGTTGGGGCTTTTTCCTGTTTTTTGTTTGTTTGTTTCACGGCAACTTCCAGAATCCCCCAGTCAGTCTGGCCACTGGCTAAGTCTGATGGTTGGTTCTGAGCACTACAGTCCAAAAGGGTGAGTTCTGATATTTATAGAGCAAGAAAAGTTCAAACGCTGACCTCGCCTAACCTATGGTAACTGCATCGTTTCTCTATCTGGCTGAAGAAAAAACAAGAGGCATTCCTGCACAGCAGCTAGATGATGATTTTGTCAATAGTGTTGTGGGCTTATGTTCCAACCAGTAATGGACAATGTCAATAGAACAGGCTGGAGAACAACAGTCTCATTTATTTTTTGAAATATCAAGCCTGGATACAAATTCAGTAGTAAATCTGATAAGGTTATTCTTCACAGAGCAAGGATTGGAGTCTCCACCCCTCAACATTAAAATTAGTCAGGGTCTCCTCTTACAAACCTCCCCTTCCAGAATCTCTTGAAATCAGGAGAGCAAAATGTCCAAAAGATACGAGCTACACCGCTGATTCATGTGGGCATTTTATGAATGATCCAAGGTGGGGGGGGGGGAACTACAGTGTAATGAGTAGCAGCAACAGTATAAAAATAGTGCAATTTGATGACACACTCTTTCAAAAAAGTTGTCATATGCTGTGAAATTTTTCACTCCCATGCCAGAGTGAAAAGATCAGGACTCTTTCCTCCTGACCACAAGAATAAAAAGTATGGGGAGGTGTTGTACAAATACAAGCGCTCTCTCGCTCTCTCTGTCCGTGCATGCACGTGTGTGTGTGTGTGATTGAGAGAGAGTAGGGCTACTTTTTTTCTGTACAAGGGTCCCCATTTAGAAGCAGATAAGCTGTCTGGAGCAGCTAGGTTATTCCTTCTTGTACAGGCTATTATGTGCTGGGTACAGTATGAATAAGCAATTTGTGTTTTTCAGAAACTCAAATTAGAAATTAGTAGGTATGTTATAAAGCAGTAAGTTCCTACTTTTCATATCATATCTCCCCAAAACCACTCTGCCAAAGAATCTGGGTCTCACTATGATAGAGACAAAAGCCATTTTCCAAGCATGGACATTTATGTGTCTGCAGGCCTCCGTATTTATCATTTAGGGTATATTATCATTTAATTTGTACACCCTAAAAGATAATGTAGCCAGTATTTATCATTTAGGGTGAGTTTTAATGATCAATGATTTAATGATTCAAAGCAATTACAGTTGTGGAGACTGGAGTAAACAGAACTGTCTGGAACTACAACAGCAGAACACAGTATCACAGATAGACGGTAGCAGGAAAGGTCTGTTGGTAGATGGTACCCCACACTTACTTTGAGGGACAAGGGAGCTGAGACAGCAGCAGTCATGTTTAGTATTCACATGTCTGCCCTTTTCTATAGTGGGTGTGTTTGATTTTTCCACCAAAAAGAACACACAAGGGAGAGAAGTTGAACTCCCCCCACTCCTTATCCCAGGTGGTCCCTCGTCCTGGGCACGTTTTAGCTATGTGCTTGTGTCATGTGCTGTCAAGTTGCATCTGGCGAACAGCAATCCTAAGAGAGTTTTCAAGGTAAGTGCGATATTTAAGGAGTGGTTTTATCAATGCCATTACCCCTCCCCCAGTGAGTTTCCATCACTGCATGGGGATTCGATCCCTACTTTGTTCTGTTCACTACACCATACTGGGTACCACTCATTTTAGCTAACTGGATACCATTTTCATTTCTCAGATATGCATCTGAGATGAGCCAAATCATCTTTTGTCTTGCATATTGGCACTCCTGCTTCTTCGTATCAGCCCAACACACTTCTGGGACTAGAATTGTATTAGCTACAATAGCACTTGGCTAGATAAAATGTGAGAGTACGGCAACTTTAGCTAGCTGGGTACCATGTTAGTTAGCACATTCCAATCCCAGAAATGTAACTTTGCCAAGCTTTAATGAAAAAAACAACATCCTCAATTTACATGGAAGCGGGGCACAAATGTAAATAACAATTTGATTATTCCAATTTTATACAGTATTTTGGTTGCAAGGCTGCATAGTAGAGCTTGCACTACAGTCCCCTTCCAGTTAAGCATCACAAGGGAACACTGGCTACATATTTCAGGCCTCGTATTTCAAGAAAATCTGCCTCCCACTGCTAATCCCCTTGTTGAGGAATCCCAGTAAAGCTTCTGATGAAGTCCAGAGGGGCCCTACTACAGCTTCTAAGGATGCTCCCGAGAGTTAAAGAAGTGGCATTTATCATGTAATTAGCATTATTATGAAAATATAATAACTAGTAGGGGCAACAGCAAGATCAGGACGGTGGCTGAAGCCTACACTGCACATCCCCAGCTGCTGTTTACTTAAAACATGTTTGTTTTTGCAGTCACTAAATGCATGATTAATGTTACATCTAATTTGGTCCACTGATCTAGAAGCAACCATCTGTAAAGCCTAGGACACAAGAAGTGCAAAGAGTAAAAGAGGCTATGTGTTACAGGCTATTACTAAGAGACTTCTGAAAGCAGCCATTGTCTGGGCACACTGTCTATGATAATAATAAACCATTATTGGCATATAAAATAAGGGGGGCACAAATGTAAATAACAAATATCTATAATAATAATAAACCATTATTGGCATATAAAATGTAGTCAGGCTAGTTTGTTAGATTTCTGGAGTCACAGGGAACGTGAAACAAATACATTTGTTTGAGGTCAGGGCACACTATCTAGCCACTTGCAGGGATAGCCAAAGGAAGCCAAAAAGATACATAAATACCTCAAAAATCTTTAGAGTTTGTAAAAACAAAACATTATGTGGCGTAATGGCAATTCTTCTTAGTGTACTCTGAAAAAGCCAGGAAGAAATTGATCTTTGTATTCCTTTGTGGTGTACATAAATTACCAAGGTTATTAACAGGTGGGCTTGGAAGTGTGACTTTTTGGACTATAGTTCCCAGAATCCAACAGGTGTTAAGACCACCAGCGATAGTGGCTAGGCCATCTTGGAGTGGTGTCAAAAAAAAAAATGGTTTGAAACTCTGATTAATAAATTTGCTAAGCTATGCTTAATGAGGATAATCTTTTCTCATGAGAGAGCAACCTACAGTTTACAGCATTATGAAAATCCAAAGGCTCTCAGTAATTTCACTCAATTATCTTCACTATCAACTTGAAAAGTATGACTGTACCATTTTTTTCTATACCACCAAAAGGAACTGAGTCTGAAGGGCCACCATCATCCAAACTTCATGAGCCAAACAATGTGTGTGTGTGTGTGTGTGTGTGTGTGTGTGTGTGTGTGTGTGCGCGCGTGCGTGCGTGCGTGCGTAACAGAACTGCAAACTTAGGATGTAAATCCTGGAACTAAATTAAATTTGCCAAATATTTTTCAAGGACATCTAACTAAAACTATTGTTCACAGGAGCTTTTTCATTACTGGAAAATGAAATGTGACAAGTTGTATCCTGGATGTGCATTTTCCCACCTCAGTTCCCAGACAGTATACCTTAAGATCACTTAGCAGAGATAAAACACCTTGAAGGCCGGTGCATGTATTCGCATTTGTTAGTTACAGATATAAAGATGGAGAGTAACCATGGACTATGAAGACCAAAATAAGGTGTGTGTGTACTGTACGTCTTTGTTTGATCTGAAAGGAAGTCCCCTTTCCCAGACTGAAGGAATCTCAATTTCAGTAGACTAGCACATAACTCCCAGGCATGGAGATCAGAGAGTTGAATACATGCCACACACAGATAATTAACCAGAATTATCTTCATCTACAACTACCATAGATTAGAATTCTTACTTCCAGGAAGGAAAACAAAGTATGAGAGAGTGCTAAATTTTGCCACTTTTGCAGCTATATGTGCAAATCTGCTCTGGCAACCAGAAATTAAGAGGGGGGGGCACTACTTTAAATAGTGATATTTAGTACTAGGTCATCTGAGGAGCACATTCCTCATCCTAAAAGCACAAAAAGCTCCATCACGACCATTCATTTCGCATGCTATAGGCATAGAGCAGCACAATTCTGTATAGCTACACTCAGAAAAAAGCCATGGGATTTATCCTCAAATTCGTTCTTTGTTCTCTCAAAAAACACCCAAGTACTTTTACTAGATACATCATCCAGCTTTCACCTAAAAAGACATGTGGAGCACTGTCCTGGAAGTAGATCCCAGGGAAAGGGGGGGGGGACTTCAGAGCAAACATGCAGCAGATTTAACTTTCTTACTTGCGAGTAAAGCCCCCCACCCACCCTGGATGCTGATACTCCTCATCCTTCTGGAATTTACCCCTCTTGAGAAGACTGGAGCGTAAACTGGGCGCAATTCCCAAGGAAATCAATAGGACTTCAGTTTCGAGTCGACCTGCTGCTGAGTGGGATTCATTTCGGTCCCAAGGGCAGTACAAAGCCCCTCCGCCCCACCTGTCCCCGGAGCTCCTGCACCGGCCTCAAACTTCCCAGTTTATCCATTTAGGGCCTGCGAACCAATCTCTAGCTCCTATCGAGGGCAGAGAGAAACCAGGAGTCGACAGGCGGGAATTCTGCGTCAGCGCTCTGCCCATGCTCAGAAGCACTCTTTTCGCGGGCTCCTTGGAAAGCAAGGAAGACGGCTTGGGCTTTCTCTCCCTCCCTCCTTCCCTCGCCCGCCGCCCTGCCCTGCCCTTGCCTTCCCGCTCCCGCCTGAGGGGGCGGTTCGAGGCCCGCACTCACCGGGGTCGTCCTCGTCGCGGGGCACCTTGCGGAAGCAGTCGTTGAGGCTGAGGTTGTGGCGGATGGAGTTCTGCCAGCCGGCCTTGCTGCGCTTGTAGAAGGGGAAGTTCTCCGCCACGTACTGGTAGATGTGGCTGAGGGTCAGCTTGCCCTTGCCTTCCCGTTCCCGCCTGAGGGGGCGGTTCGAGGCCTGCACTCACCGGGGTCGTCCTCGTCGCGGGGCACCTTGCGGAAGCAGTCGTTGAGGCTGAGGTTGTGGCGGATGGAGTTCTGCCAGCCGGCCTTGCTGCGCTTGTAGAAGGGGAAGTTCTCCGCCACGTACTGGTAGATGTGGCTGAGGGTCAGCTTGCGCTCGGGGGCGCTCTGGATGGCCATGGCGATGAGCGCCGAGTAGGAGTAGGGCGGGCGCACCAGGCGCAGCAGCTCCTCCTGGCTGGCGAGGCTCAGCCAGCCCAGCTCCGACGGCGACGA